ATTTTTTTGATGGCACATCTTTACCAATTAAAATAAAAGTGACTGTGTACTTCCAATATAGTTTTTATTTATTTGTAAGTCATATACATGGAACTACTACAATAATATGTTATGTATGTTATAAAACATACAAAAAGAAATTGTTAAAGGTTGAGAAAAATAAATTTAATCGGAAGCTATAATATTTTGTTTCCCATCGCAAAGAGCTATCTTATACCCCATTTTGAAGACTGCTCCCACACTACTCTGGTGTGATAATCATCAGAACTCAGAAAATTTGGACAAATGGAAACTTAGCTTTCTTTTTGTATTATTATTCTCAAATATCAAGTGCCTCAATAGATGCATCTCCCAATTACCCTAAAAGAGTCTTTCTTACCTCCACCAGTCATTCTGTCACATTACTCTGCTTTATTGTTTTCAAGATGGTCTTTATCTAAAATTATTATTTGTTTACCAGTTTACTGCCTTAATCCTTGTTTATCTAGTTTATTATTAGACAGTCTTAGCACTTAGAATAGTACCCTGCACAGATAAGGTACCCATTATAAATTTGTTGAATGAATAAATGAATATATCAAAGAAAAAATAAGACTTTCCTTAGGAGCTGCATAAAAATTAACTACAGATATTCAGTGACATTCAATGAGGGGAATTCCATAGAAGTCAGACCAATATTTGGGAAAATCAGTATTATAGAAATTAAGGAGACTAATCTCTTTTTCTTGCTTTAAATGTCATCAAATTTCTACACAAAAGATGTGCAGGAGTATATGATGGCAGAACGCACAATTTCCCTAAAAATCCGCACTGCATTTATTCTAGTGCTTTATCAAGTATTCATTTGAGACTTTAAGTTCTATCTCAGGGGTATGGAAATGAAAATGTGACCTTGAAATATTTTTGGTGAATCAGGCCAATCATGAAAGAATCTCAGCACCACTCCTTTCTGGCATCTGATTTTGAATATAAAGATCTCCCAAGAATTCCACCAGGATTATTTTGCTTCAAAATGAAACATTAAACTAACCAAGTAAACTGACCTGGTGAGTCTGACTATAATATAACTGCTGCCACAGCCAAGAAGCCTGTGTGACCAGAATTCTCGCTAGTGAATATTATCAGAAGATGCTATGTAACAAATTTTCTTCTTTTTCATAGTAGCTGAAAAGTAATATTATACCAACCCTGTGTTTGCTACCTTTCAGAAGGAAAAAACAAAAAAAAGAAATAACTTACAAATGCTTCTGTTTTCTGTAACAGCTCCTGCTTTTCTGTCCGCAGTTTTGTGATCTCCACAGATTGTGAGTTTAACTGAGACTTTAATGTTGCCAGTTCCTAAGAGACAAAAATTGCTGAGTTGCAACATTAAAGCATTAATTTAATCAAGGAAATTTCTACTTACAGGAGCAACAACAAAAAATTTTCCTTTCTTGACCCTTCCCTCCAAATTACAACTTCCA